GGGGGGTGGGGGGTGGGGGGGGGTGGGGGGTTCTGGGATGGGGGATTCAGTTTACTGCCACAGCCGGGCAAGAAGTCAGGCGGAGGCGAAAGGCCATACACAAAAAAATGTAAAGCAGAAGTGCCAAAGGCAAGGCCACACCAATTCAGGGCTGGGCTCTGACTCAGTGCCGTGGCCACAGGCAGGGAGGCACTCCGCATCTTAAGACAGGTTGTGCAAGCTCTTTTCCAAATGCTTCTCCCTAAGTCAGCACATTTGGACTTTGAAAAGCACGTTCCCATAAAAATCGGGTTATAAATGATCATTAAGTTCTCAGTCCAGGACCCATTGTACTTACGGCTTATCTGAAGTGCCCATTACGCTTACAGCTTATCTAAAAGGCAGCCCTTGTAGGCGCCTATTGATTTCTCTGAGCCACTGTGAATCTAGGCAACAGTAGTAAAAAAAAAAAAAAGAAAAATCCAAGAGGTAACAGCTATTCTCAACCATAGCTACACATTATAATCCTGGGGGCTTTAAAAATACTACAGGTGATTCCATTTTTTTTTTTTTTATATTTATTTTTGAGAGACAGAGAGACGGAACACGAGCAGGGGAGGGGCAGAGAGAGAGGGAGACACAGGATCCGAAGCAGGCTCCAGGCTCCGATCTGTCAGCACAGAGCCCGACGCGGGGCTCGATCTCACTAACGATGAGAGTGTGACCCGAGCTAAAGTTGGAGTTTAACTGACTGAGCCACCCAGACACCCCCAGATGATTCCATTTGTATGAAATGGCCAGAAAAAGCAAATCTACAGAGGCAGGAAGCAGATTAGTGTTAACTGAGGGCAGGGGTGGAACTGAGCACTGACTCTAAAATGGCCTAAGGGATCTCATCGAGGTGAGAGAACTTTTGTAAAATCAGACTGTGGTGACAGTCACACGATGCTGTCGGTTTGATAAGAAATCACTGAGTTTTGGGGGCGCCTGGGTGGCTCAGTCAGTTAAGCGTCTGACTGCGTTCGGCTCAGGTCATGATCTCGCAGTTCGTGAGCTCAAGCCCCACATCAGGCTCCATGCCGACAGCTCAGAGCCTGGAGCCTGCTTCGGATTCTGTGTCTTCCTCTCTCTCTGTTCCTCCCCTGCTTGCACGCTGTCTGTCTGTCTGTCTGTCTCTCTCTCTATCTCAAAAATAAACATAAACATTAAAAAAGGAAAAGAAAGAAAGAAATGACCGAGTGTTGCACTTAAAACGTGAGAATTCTATGACATCCCAAGGTGGTTTCAGAAAGATTAATACCCGGACCCCAAGCCGGAATGACCGAATGGAACCTCTGGGAGTAGGGCAGGGCATTCTGTCTTAAAGCTTCCCCGGCCATTCCAAAGTACGGCGAGGGTTGAGAACCCCCGAGGGAGGAGGGTCAGAGGACCGAAGCTGGCAGGTGGCGCGGTAATCACCAGGACGCGCCAGAAAGAGGGTCCAGCAGTAAATGGCTGGGAGTAGCAAAAACAGAGGTGCTCCCATAGAACGGGCCACGGCCGCACCCTTGCTGGGTCAGTACTGCCTGGAACGGGGTCTGATGTGTGTGACTCACAACCGAGCTCATGCTCCTGCCTTTGCAGGCTGAGTGATAAGAACCCGAGGGCTGGCGGACTCTTAAGGTTCACCGCAGGCAAAGAAGGAGACGGAATGCGGTACGAGCCGAGTCAGGGCTCTGGGGTCAGACAGATCTGACTTGGGAGTCCCAATGCTGCTGCTTGGTCGCTGCAAATATGAGTGCCCATGCCTTCCACAGTCAAATGGGAACGATGGTCATAATAATGCCACCACCACGGTGATCGTTTAGCGACGCCATTCATCTCCTTCGGCTCATTAATGTGGTCCCGGGTGAGGGTTCACGGAGCGTCAGCTGTCCGGAGCAGTACGACAGATGACCGCCACCTTCAGATAACTCCCAAGCTAAGTCTTATCTGTGGAAGGCTTCTGCAGTGACCAAGCGTTCTAGCTTCTCCCAGAAGTTACGGCCGAGTGCAGGCCACACAAAGATAAAACCACAACAGAAGCGGGCAGCCCGTTCAACTACAACAAAGAGTTGGTTGTGGTCACACTGCGTGGGCTGGAGGCCCCCAAACAGAATCACAGGCACGTAACGCACAGAAACTCAGAGACCTAGTACGTGGTGAGTTAGCAAAAACCATTCATCAAAGGATCAACGTCTCAGTCCTCTGTGCCTGACGCCACTGGGAATGAGGCTATAAAAATGCCAGCCCTGGTGGTTCTCAGGTGTGCCTTCCCAGAGGGCCAAAGAACTCTCTGGACAGAAACCATCTTAGGATGACCTTGCTATGAGATGTGTAGATCTTCATTCATTCAGCTGGTATTCGTGGAGCCCTCTCTAAATGTCAAGAACTGGGGAGGCTAGAAGGAGAGAAATGAGCCGCAGTCCCCACCCTTGGGAGCTAAAAGGAAAGACAGAAATGTAAAGAACCAACTTTGTTCCGAGTTTCTGGGAGCAGAGAGAGAAGCAGAATGGATTGTGTGGCCAGGAAAGGCTTTACAGGGAAGCAGCTTAAGCAGACCCCAACAGTATGGGAGACGGAATGCGCAAAGGGTCCTACACTAGGGCACAGAAGAAGAGGAGAGGGGGGCCTGGCTGAAAAGAACCAAGAACCAGGAACTAAGGGGCAACAGGGAGCCATTGATGGTTTCTCTGTCCTGGAGTGGCATCAGATTTGAGTTTCAGAATGAAAATTCTGACACTGGAGGACAGGCAAGGTAGGAGAGCATTTGAGGGCCTCTGCAGTTATTCAGGGAGTGAACAAGAACACAGGCAGGAAGCCCTCCCAGTCCGATCTGGGCCGATGCCATGCTGCTATTTTAAAAGAAATGGTAGGACTGACTCACTGACTATAAACCATCAACTTGAAAAACGCTTTAAAAAGTTCAAGGAAAACCTCTAAAATGTGGAGGTCTCTCTGATCAGAAAATAAATCAGAATAGAAGCTAGAATTCATGGACATAACTCAGGTAATCAACCAGCTTTCCAGTACTAGATTAAGCTTGCATTCGTACATTCCTCTCTGTTATGAAAGCACTTTTGCATAATTATTTCATTTTATTCTCTTACACGTACCCTTATGGGGCAATTTTTATCCCTAGCTCACGGGTGTGGAAACTGGGGCAGCCACCCGTTAAATAAATGACATGGGAACCGAAGCCTTTGGACCCTCAGGAAGAGCAGTTTTAAGGTCCCTGACCAAAGCGGACTCTCTCATTTGTTTTCACGCCAGATTCTGGTCCCAGCTCCACCACAAACTAACCTTAGGCTCTAAAAATACAACTCGTGACATTCCTGTACCTCACTTTATTTACGTTTGCATCAACCATCTCATGCAACTTTTAAGAGATTGCAACAAAACAGAATATTTGTGAGAAAAGAGAATATTTGAAACCTTCAAAGCTGTGCTTTGCAAACGTACGGTCGTATCTGTATGAACAACAATAAATGCTACATATTTTTCAAGGCATGCAAGGCAGAGAATTTGGAGTAACTGTGGATCCTCTAAGTGTCGAGGAGGAGAACACATTGCAGATGTAGCCCAGAAACTTCCATGATCAGCGTGGTACAGAAAATGAAGGGAAAAAATGTTCACCTGGAAAACTGGGGTGAGGCTCTTTTGCTGGATGATGGCGAGATTCTGGGTGGAGAACACCATAAATCTTCACTTGCCCTTTTTTAAAGGTCAAAGAAAAGAGTGTTCCAACACCGTGGCTTGATGGAGGGAAGGACGCTATTGATGACTCAAAACAGAACACGAGGTGTTTTTTTTTTTACCCTTAAAAAGAGGCTTTTCCTCCAAAGGATATTCAGAATGATGAAATGGTCCCTGAGTGGAACAGTACGGCCCATCGCTGCATTCGACCCCACAGGGTGTCATGCATACTTTGCCACTAACCTTTTCATTCAGTTAGTCACTGAGCAAATATGTGTTGGAGTCCCTTCCATGAGCCATCGCGAGTAAGAGTCACGGCCCCTGCGCTGACTGGGCGCAAGGGCT